TTCTAATTACACAATAATTACGCGGAGCTTGTTATTGTCATTTGATGTGAATTCAATTTTTTCGGTATAAATGATGCGTTCATGTATTTCTTTACCCCACGGATGTTTCCCCGAATGGTGTATTAAAAAAAATAAAGTTTAACGGTGAAATATTAAAAGTGCGAATCAAGGGAGACAGTTTTTCAATGGAGTATATCTAACCAACTTCCTTCGACCATCAGTTTGTAAGAAATAAAGGTATAAAATGGAACGTATGGTTCGAGGGACTATAATAACAGAGTCGGGGTGCCTGTCTGAAGTAAAAGAAATGATATACCATATAAATGCATGTATGACGTACAACAAAGGAGAGTTGATAACGAGAATAGTTTTGACATTGTATGAAAAAGTGACGTGTTGGAATATCAATTTTTTAAACACCATGTGTATCGTTGTAATGTACATAACACGCATTACATACCGACTCATGAATAATTATATACACCTGATGTAAGTATGTGCTTTTCTCTTGAGTTTCGTCTCTTTATTCTAATCATTGGGCGCGGGTAGATCACAAAAAGATATATTTAATAAATAAAATCTTTACACGGAGAGAAATATTTAGTAAAAATTACGGAGTAATTTCAGTTCACTTACCGATTACGGAGTCGATTCGAAAAATTTAAGTGATGGTATCGTAATTTTTCATCGATAATTCAGATAAAAATGATGGAATATCGCAGAAAAATTCCGTGACTTTAGATAAAAATTACGTAACAGTTTCGTTAAATTTCCGACAACCACATTTCGCTCCACAATTACGAAAAATGTACCTAATTTTTATTGAATTTCTCTATCTAACAATACATTCAATATTGTCCTCATTAATCCTGATTACCCCTCATTAATCCCCAATATTATTTCATTCTCTACCAAAGATATTTAATCAATACATTGAATTCATTCAATAAAATCCAATTCCACATTTATTTTTGAATCTTCAAATTGTATGTATGTATACACAATTTTGTAAATAATTATAATACATACACATTATTTTTAATTCAAAAAAATCAAAAATATTTTTTTTTGTATATGGATTTTGAGAAGATAGTAATATAGAGAGTATTTTCAGCAAGACGATTATTATTTTAGATATTAATTCCGCGATGCGAGAGAGACGAGCGTCTTAATTGCCGCTACACCAATTTAAATAAAAACATGTCCTTATTACCCCTCACTCCTCTGTA